TTTTTATAAACATGTAAACTTATATAGATTTTAAGTGGTCCTTCTCTCAACAGGTACATTTTTAAATTGGCTCTACAATATTTAGCTGTAAAGACTTTTATTTTCAAGAAAAAAAAAGCCCTAGACTTAAATAATTTACTTCTTTACCCAAGCAAAAATGGATATAATCCTGATTTCTATATAACCTTTGGGTCTTTTTTTAAATGTGTTGGAAAGTATACATGTTGAGCTGGAAGTTTTAGTATTTGGTGAGATGAAAGCACAGCTGCAGTTCCATTTACCTGTGATGGACACCTCAGCATCGCTGTCCATGCCCTCCTCCTGGATGCTGTCCTTATCAGATTTAGAGCTTCCTCTGGACCGCTTCATGTTGCGGAAATACTGCCCCCATCTCTGCCTCCCGGCGTCTTTCTTCAGCCTTTTTTCTTTCGCTCGCCGGTTCTGAAACCAAACCTGCAGGAAGAAATGAAGAGAATGTCATGTTAGATAGARCTTTGTTAGCATAAATGCCAAGCGTTGTGCTTTGTGAATACAAGTAGAAATCCCTTGTATGCACTTTTCTTATACATATATGTAATTTTGAAGCATTAAAACACAGTTATTGTTCAAAGTTGGACATCACTTCATTGCTTAATCCTCTGGGTTCAGGTTTCAACTTAGAATACGTTTATCAGTTGGGTACAAGTTAGCTTCACCCATGTGAACAAGCAGGTTAGCATTAAAACAACTTAAATTATTCCAATATTCCCTGGATCACCTTTTGAGTTGATCAGATTCATGTATGAAGTGCAGAATTATACATAAAACTTAAATTCTCTTTCATGTTCTCTTTAATCCTGCACTCAATCCTTTTAGATCACTTGAACAAAARGCACGCGTTGTTCTTTGTTTTAATGATATTCCTCCTCCAGTGAACCTTCTTCACCTTTTTTCTTACCCTGAATAATGAGCAGCATTTTAGTGGCTCCTGTCCCTACTTGTGTCCTTGAAAATAAAACGATATATACGACTAACACCTCACGACTGGCTCCAGGCTCTTCAGCAGCAGACAATATGCGAAGGGGGCCACTCTTAGTATTGTTAACAAGCCCGCACTTAAACCACGTGGACTTCATTTTACTACATCTACAGCCATAAATCCCCCACCCCACAACTCTCCCATCACTTCTTCGCACAGTCCTCTTGTGCCAGATCAGCCACAATTGTCCCCTTTTAATAAAGTCAGGACACTAATGGAACGACACTTAATGGATAATAATRTACTTTACCTGCACAACCCGCATGTCCAGGCCTGTCTCTGAGGAGAGCTGCTCTCGGACATGACGTGCCGGTTTCGGGGAGTTATTGTAAGCATTCTTTAGTGTTTCCAGCTGCTTGGCTGTGATGGTGGTTCGGGGCCTTTTTGCAGTCGAGTCTGCTTCTGAGGGAAACACAGAGAACACAGCAGCGAGCCATTTAATGTTCACTCCTCATCACGGTTTGAATAGATCTGTGAATACTACTGTAAGGATGCATATGAATGAGATAAACCCACAAAAATTAATCCTTGGGACCATTTCTTTAAAATCGAGTCAAGAACACAAAAACAGTAACAGACAGAGAACGAGTTCTACAAATGTTTAATTTGCCGTAAATAAAACAAATTCTCATCTGCCTTTAAACCTATAATTTTTGCACTGCGTGTAACAGTGCCTTGTCATTAGTAAAACAAACATGGAGACATTTCTTGCATAAACTTAGGTTAACGCCTCTGCGTAAATCAACACAGTAAATAACCAACAAACAGATGGAGGAATAAAATTTGATGCCCCCTGTAGAACGAGCCTTCTGGGATGTTTCCTGTAATGTTGGGCATGGCCCACATATGTGTGCATGTGAACGGCTGATGTTCAGCTATTGCTTCAATCTGTAAGCACTGGAACTACCAATACTTTCTTTAAAAAAYGAACTAGTTTTGCAATTAATTTGACTCAGAACAACGTAAGTTGAAAAATCTCAATTTACCAGATGTTAATGATGAACTGAGCTTAAGCAGACAGCTTTACATGAATTTAATGCATGATAACACAGGTGAATTTCTGCTCCTTGAGGACTGCTCATCCGRCATGTTTTCTTGTTTCCCTGCTCAAACACACCTGCTTTGCACGAATGGCTTCTACGGAATTTAAAGAGTTGACTGAGTCACTGAATCAGCTGTGTCGGAGCAGCGAAACAAGTAAAACACGCAGGCTAGCGTTCCTCGAAGACCTGTCTCCCCTTCATTATAACGAGCAAAACAGCAACATTTGTTTTGTTGTCAGACAGTGATGTGTGACCTCTGTGTGCGAGTGTGTGTTTGTGGTGTTCTAAAAAAAATCTCATGAGCCTGTAAACATATTTTACAACACTTTTGAAGTAATCATCAGATGCACATTTAGAATCAATTAATTTTGAAGTCAAAAGTGGTTACAACACAGTTATTTTTACAGCTATGATAAATTCTGATGTGGTAGGAGCTGAGATTCGTTTTAAACACATAAATCAATGGTTGAGAAATTATTTAAAATCTTAGATATTAATAAAGGCAACTAGCCATGCAATTTTATAAGGAATGGAATTTTTTTTGTTATTGTTTTATAAGTTATTTCAATGTATCGATTTATGTAATATGTAATGTAATATTTAAGTGTAAGTGTGTTGTTGGAGCCCTATCAAAGAAACATTTCTGGGACAAACAATACACTATTCTATTCTATTCTATTCTATTCTATTCTATTCTATTCTATTCTATTCTATTCTATTCTATTCTATTCTATTCTAAAAATCATAAAAATCCCTTTTTTATAATTTAAAATTCTGAATTAGAAAATAAAATAGTATTTTGTGTTAAAATGTTTGTAACACATATTAAAACCGCGCGCGCTCAGAGCTCTCCGCACTTTTACGCGCGTCTCTCTCTCTCCSCGTGTCTCCACCCGAAGCCCACGCGAGCCCCGTAACGAGTGACTGAAAGCTGATCCTTCCGAGTGCAGAGTGCAGCCTCCACCCATGGCCTCCACCCCCCCCCCCTTCAAGGATTTTGCACGGGATCACGCTGGCGATGACGCAATTGGCGACGCTGTTAGGGTCAGAGTTCACGAGATGACTTCACGCGTGGTTTCAGGCGCAACCGCGGCGGCTTTCCTCACCTCTCTGTTTCGCGGTCTCGTAGTCGGCCTTGCAGACCAGCCTGCTGTCCTCCATCAGGTAGTACTCGTCCCCCGTGGCCAGCTGCCTCTTGCACACGACGCAGGCGAAGCAGTGCAGGTGATAGACGAAGTCCTGCGCTCTCCTCACCACCTGCGTGGGCGGGATGCCCTGCTGACAAGTCGCGCACTTGGTCCCGAATCTCCTGTTTGTGCGGTGACACGAAGGAGTCGTTACGTGTGGCACAGATATTTTGAAGTAACCCCCGCGTGATTTCTAACTCACTTGAAGAAGTCCTCCTTGCAGTAGACGTTGTCCCCCCGGCTGAAGCACTTGTCCGCCAGCTGCGCCTGACAGTCRCTGCATTTCAGACACTTGCTGTGCCAGTGGCGGTCCAGCACCTTCAGGATGAAGCGGTCTACGATGTGCTGGCTGCAGCCTGCGCACACCGGGATCTCTGCAGGGGGAAACAAAATGACAGCAGGTCAAAAGAGCAAACAGGAGCAGGAGAGGGAAAGGGGAACGCAATGTCGCTCTTGCGCGCAGCTGCCGAAACAATCACCTGTTGGTTTAATTATAAAACTCCCCACATCGGATGCAAATATTAGACAATAATCAACAATAAATATCCATTAAACCACTTGTTTTGAATAATGTAAAATGTTTTACATTTCCTCTTTTCAAGTTTGGTTTTACTCGACTATATGGGTTTAGAAAACACGCGTGCACTTCTTGACAAATATAATCACGTCGGTTTGTGTCCAGAAGTCTCAATTCATTGTATGTTTTTTCAAAAAATACGAGTAACAACATATAATGTTTGGATTTATTCGTTTCAGAACAAAAATAATATATAAGCACGCACCTATAATGTCAGTTATTTTTGAATTTTCCATGCTGCGTCAGAAATAGTTTTACTTCTAAAATCATTTATCCCAGCATAAATGAGCATAAAACTGTTTTACAGGTTGTTTCTGCCTCACACAACAGTAAATCAATTAAAATAAAACCTATTTTGTCAGCAGAGGTATAMTATCTGAATTTTATTTGAACTATTTAAGTAATTTAAAACGGGGAATGGATGTTTTTGTTTGCTTTATTTTAATTTATTATTTAGACCAATTCTGGTAAAACCACAAAGAGCGAAATTAAGCTAACCACTAATTACAAGGAACCASGGATGAATTATACAGAAGGTAAATTAGAATTAATGACATTTATCAAGAACAACAATCCTCAGAACACTAAAACTAAAACACACGACTTCTGTTACATAAAAGGGAAAAATTAATAAAATGTACAATTTATGGCTCTTAAAATATGGCATTTAAAATCAAACTTTACTGTTTATAACAATCTTACAATGTGATTTTTTTTGTTTTTACAAGTAAAACAAATCTAAAGTTATAAAAACGTTCAGCTCAACTTTTTTGCACGATTCAAACGCCTCAAAAACAAAAAAAAAAAAAAAAAAAAAAAAAAAACGAACGGAAGTGAAATGAGGACACGTGGACCGCCCCGGGGTTATTGGGTCTCTTTATTACTAATTAAAAGCAGCTCGAGCGCTCCGTGGGTCCGCGGCACCATTGTTCGGACTCATGAAACATTAAGGAGCCATTTTCGTCCCGCATCAGCGGCGAGGCCCGCGTCAGGAACAGGTGGATCCGGATCATCATTAATTCAGAGCCGCTGGGTAAAACTAGAAAGCTGYGGCGGCCCGTGTGGCCCCCGGCGGATCAAACCGACACAAAGTCCCGGCGATTTGCTCAGCTCGCAGGGCCACTTAGGGGGTGCTGTCAAAACTCCTACTTGTTCCATTAACATTTTTTTCATCCAATATGATAGAAATGAAATTAGTTTTTACCCTGTCACAACATCAAACTGTTTAAAAAGAATGATTCTTGTGAAGAGAAACTGTATTTGTGCGTCTTCATGTTGCCAAAAAATGCGTAAAATCAAAACAGTGCGCGCAAAATGACCAGAATCGGCACACAGTGTGACACAACCCCTCTTCTGCTGTCTCATCTGTTTTTCATAATTTCCCTGATGAATAACTTAAGCATCAGAAAGAGAACCACCTCAGATAGCGCCAATAAAGGCCCATTTTCACGACCAGAGCGCGTGGATACATCCTGTAACCCTGCGTGACAGAAACGGCTGTGAAATGAAGAGAGCGGAGACGTTCAGTGTCCTGTTTTACCTCTGCGTAACTCCTCACTGTGCGCCAGCAGAGCGAGGAGCATCTCCGCATTGTTAGGAGCCTCTTTAGGAGAACTGCGCTCACCATGTCCATCCATTACGCATGGTTTACATTAAGCCGTTGTCCACACACACGCGCCCGCGCGCACGCTCTCTCGTTCACATACACACTCACACACTCACAAACAGCCGACAGGATTGTTGTTTAATTTGAGCAGCGACGAGTCTCCAGACCTCAGCGCGCACCAATGCAGCAGCAGCGGAGTTTGCTTGTTTRTGCTTCAAGTCCTGCAGCGGGATTACGCTGCGCCGTTTCCATGGGCGACAGGCGGATAGATCAACATCACCTGCAGTGGAGCACCTTACCCGGAAGAGGAATGGGCAGCGGCAGCGAGAGGGGAAAGCCAATGAGGAGTGTCAGCGCTGAGAGACGCGATGCCAAAGATTAGATCTACTGACAAGAATTGAATAAGTCAAAATGACACTTTTAKCTCAGGAAGCCAAACTGAAAAACGAGTATCTGATTGATGTTTTTTTATTTATTCATTTATTTGTTTTTGTCAGAGAATGGGGCGTAAATTTTGGTTGATTTGATCAAACTATATAATAAAAACGAGGACGTGCTCCGGCTTTTAGCATTTGAAGGGAAAAAAAGGCACAATAAAAATAAAATGGTTTCCTAAAACTGTTTAAAAGTTTGAACATTTAAAAAAATGTACAAATGAAAACTGAACCGACACAAGCTCACAAAACAAAGAAGACTAAACATAAATAATTAAAGTAATACATAAATGAAATATGTATACATTTTTTATTTTCTATTTCTATTATATTATTTTCTTTACTTTTGTATTTTGAAAATAAACTCTAATCTTGTCGTGCGTAACTGATAAAAATACGCACAGATTTCTATAATACTACCC